GCTTAGTGGTGAGGATTTTTGTTTTCTATACATTGAGGTGCTGAAGGCTATAGTCTTTGATCTTCATCGTACGTATTTCAAGTCCTCTAATAAAATAGTGGTGCTGTAGGCTAATGAGTCAGACTGCAACATTGTTTGAACTGCAAGGTCGGTGGTTCAAGCTTACCAGCTGCTCCATGGAAGCTCTATACAGAGTCGCTATGGGTCAAAATCAACTTGATGGCACTTAACTACAATAAGAAATTTTGAATATTGTCTATTAAAGAATATGCATATGGGTTCTTGATCTCCATACCTAGCATTTTCTTTTCGCTACACATGACCCTTAGGTAATTTCTTGTGCCTACTGACTCAGGATATTGTAGTGGTTATGAATCAGGCTATGAGCCTCATGGTCAGCAGTTTGAAATTACCAGCTGTTCCGTGGGAGAAAAATGAAGCTTTCTTCTTTGTAAAGATTTACAGTTTCAGAAACCCTGTACAGGGTTGCTATGAGTCGGAACCGACTCCGCAGCACATAACAACAGCAACAACAACAACTGCCTCAGGATATCTCTTCGTTTCAACTCCCCACCTTCCACCAAAACCATTTTGAAACATTTTCTTCCATTGATTAGTTGGCATATCCTTTGGTCTGAGAGATCCTGGAGTGCATGATAGTGCTTTACTCATCTTTGTGTCCCTGTGCCTACCACAGAGTACTGAACGGCAGTGAGCTGAGCTAAAGAGAAGCACCTGATGGTTAATCCCCAGCTATGTACTTACCCACCCAACCCCAACACACACATACACACACATGACACTACCAGGGCATGTGTCAGGGCACTGACATGTTGGGCCTGTCAGTGCATCCAGGGACTCTTAACTAAGTGGAGGCCTGGCGTATTCACGCTGGGCTTTTCCCTCAGGAGGAAGCACTAATGGTCTTTTTGGCCATCTGCTGCTGGAGCCATATCACCACAAAGTTTTTCTATTAGTCCTGATCATTTTTCATCTGATGTATTCTCCAAGATAAATCCAATTTCCTTTGAGGTCTGAAGCTCACACCAAACATCTTACTTCTTGTGATTTTGTGATTTAAGTTACTGTAATTATGGGCTAAACTAATGCTCAAGACCCTCATAGCATCATCTTTTGAGCAGCCTCTCTTCCTCCCACAATGCATTCTAGTTTCTAGACAGAGTGGAGATCTTCTCACTTCCTTTGAGAGCTAGGTCTCAGACCGTCCCAATGAGAGACAAGTCTAGCAGTGCCTCCATCTTCACTTCCAGGTCCCTGCTCATCATCCCTCCCAATTTCTCCCTGCCTCTATCCAACCCCAACTCTTCAGATTTTCCTGAATTTCCCATCTTGTTGTTGTTGTTGTTAAGTGCTGTTGAGTCGGTTCCGACCCATAGCAACCCTGTACAGGGTTTCCGAGGGTGTAAATCTTTATTTCCCATCTTAGGCTCAGCTTATTCCATCTCTTTCTTAAAAAGATTACTAGTTTTGTTGTTGTCGAGACTATATACAGAGAATATACATCAATTCAAGCTTCTGTATGTACCATTTAGTGCCACTGATTACATTCTTCCAGTAACCATTTTCACCTTCCTTTTCTGAGAGGTTCTTTTCTCATTACCATAAACTCACTGTCCCCTAAGGTTCCTACCTCAGCTTTCCAGTAACTGTTATCAGTTTGATCTCACATAGATAGTTGTTAAGAGGACATAATGCAGACATTTTTCTGCTAATTACGCTAAACTATTCTTTGGTTTTAAGAAGATTCACAGGCTATACAATCATGAAGGTATTCATGATAACTTTTTTTTTTTAACGTTTTATTGCGAATTATGTGATAATTTACATGGGAGAACATTAGTTTTACATTCATCCTAATGTATATTGTTTCATTGCCACGGTTACAATCCCCTCCATGCACCATCAACCAACCAAAGGGTATACACTTTAAACCTGTCCCCTGGTCGTCAGCATATAGCTCCTCTCCCTCTCTGTGTCTAAAGTCCCCAGCTGCTCCATCTCTCCACGTCATC